TCATCCTGAGGGTCCTGGTCACGTCCAGGCAGTGGGTCTTTGGGCCTTCTCTGTCTGTCAGTCTCTCTCCAGCCTCCTCCCCTCTTTCTCCCATCGCCCTGGTTTCTGCCCCGCAGGCTGCAGCTGGGACCCAAGCTGAGCAGCAAGGAATGTTCCAGGCAGGGGGCTGGGCTGGGGTCAGGGGAGCTGGGCTCATCCTGCTGGAGGGGCCCCCCGGTGAGTGTGGGTCTGCTCTGGGCCCTCCCCTGACCGAGCTCTTGCTGCACTGGAGGCTCTGGGCGTGCACAGTCCTTCTCCCCCCTCCAGGGGTCAAGAGATTCTTTAGTCCTGCTACCGGGGAAGAAATGGAGGCTATAAAAGACGGAGCAGATCAGGAAAAGGAAACATGTGGAGCAGACAGTGTGAAGAGGGGAAGGAAAACAAGTGCAGTCGTTCCCCATTGATCCCAGGACTTTCTTCTTGACACAGCAGGAAACCAGCGTGACTGGGGAGAGCACTGCAGTGGCTGGTCTTGGCTGTGACTGCGCATGTGCTTATAAAATGGTGCTAAAATCCTCGCAGGCACGGGAAGGCTGCCCTGAGAACATCCTACCAGGGAGTGGAGGCTTCTTGCATGGAAGGCCCTAAGCCTGCTCAGCTGAGCCTCCCGCGAGCTGCTTTAATTGGGGGAGAGGCTGTGGGTGCTGGCAGGGCCACCATGTGCGTGACTTCCCCGGGGACCACTGTGCTCCTTGTGACATGCAATAGAGTTGATCAGCATCTCCCTCTGCAGGACCCAGCCCTGCCCACCCCTCCCCCTAACGGCAGCAGGAACATCCCCAGTTAATCATGAGGGGACATCAGGGCTGGCCCAACCTGACCTCCCCTGTTTTAGGCCTCCTGAAGAAAGTATGAGGACACAGGAACCTCAGGGTCCTTGTCCTGCAAACAAGCAGCCCACCCAGCCCAGCGGTGCCTGACTGTGGGCACTTAGTGGGTCCCGGCACCAAGTAGGGGACACCATGGGGTCCCAGACCGTCGGGGATTTTGCCCAAGCCCTGGGGCCCCACAGCCTCAGTGGAGCACTGTGTTTCAAGATGAGGTTCTACAGATTTTTCACATATGTATAATAATCAAAGAAAACGCACACACAAAGGAAGGAAATGAAGGCAATTCCATGCAGTGCTTTCTTGGAATACGTTAAGAAGCAAGAATTACAAGTTACTTGTGCTTATTTTATTATTCCTATTTGTCAATAAATATAATGGCTTTTATTGCGTTTTAAATAGCAATGTTTTCTGTATCTTTCTCACACTAAAACTCTTTAAGCCATAAAACGTATTTCTTAGTACCACAACATTTTGTTTTAGTTGAAAGGCATAGGCAAGGTTTGGTGGTGGCGTTAGAGACAGGAGTGATGATTAGCAGAGAAAGCAAAGAGCTCCAGGAAGCTGTGCATGCTCCCTGTGCAGGTCTCCCGCTAGATTGTGTCGGGGATCCGGGTGGAGGGCAGGGTCACCTCTCCCACCCCTGTGTCATCGACCTCCTGCTCCTCACAATGCCCAGGTGCACGGTGCCTTTTCACCCTGGGGGCCTAGAGACCTCCCCTTTCTTCTGCACCTGTTTCGCCATCCAGGGACCTGTCACCTGAAGTCTGCCCAGGTGAACGCTCACGTTAATCCGCTTCTGTAGGACATGTACAGATGCTCCCTATGGACACGACACAGCCTCATCAGAGAGCAGAAAACAGGCCTCAGGACCCCGTGGACCTGCCTCCGGGGATGTCAGGGGCCAAGGTCACCTTCTGGGCCCCAGGAGCCTTCCGGGTCCTGAACACCTCCCCCCGTCGGTGCGCACCCACCCCATGCCTAATGGATGTTGCCCCCCCTCCCCTCCCCCCCCCACCCCGTGAGCCTCTCCTCCCTCCCTCGGCCTCCCTGGCGGTCCCTGCTCCGGTGTCTGCGTTGCACATTCCTACAGTGACACCTGGGAAGGCTGTCATGTGCAGATCTCACCCTGGCCCAGAGAGGACCTGGAGCTTGACACGTTTGGGGAAGATTAAATCAGACAGGAGTGTGCTGTCTTCCCCATATGAGCTGACTCAGTGACAGGGTCTGTCCCCAGGCCATCAGACACCTGCCCTTTCTCTCGGTCACGGTGCTCCGCTGCCTTTCTGTATGGCCTCCTGTCTATAGAGTTATGTCCCCGCACAGTCAGCGCCTGGGGTCAGTTAAGTGCACACACGCTGCAGTGCCCTCGTTGGACTCAGGTGGCTCTCCCCTAGGCCATTGGAGAACAGAAGGATGACCTGGGGAAAGACCATCAGCATTTTCCCATGGTCTTCTGCCAAACAAGATGTCAACAGGTGTCTCTGTGTTGAATGTGTTCTGCAGGAACATGCCTCAGGGATGCAATAAGAGAGGACCAGGAAGGATTCAAATACAGAAAAGTGTCTGCATTCCAGGAAATCTCCTGCCCTTCCCCAGAAGTGCATCAGCAGCCTTGACATCCCCTTCCGGCCACACAGCAGGGTACAGCCACAAACATCATCCCCTGCCAGCTACGCCATGGAAGGTGCTATGGAAACAAAGCCTTTAAGTAGGGTCCCGAGTAAGGACTGTATTTTGTACGCCAGGGACTGAGTTTTGGTGAGGAAGGGTGTGAGTAGGAAGGTGACACTTATAGCTGGCGCAGCCACTGCCCCTTCTCGGCCAGGCCTGAGCCCAGGCTGCTCGGACAGCTGCTCAGATCAGTAGTGCAGGGGACGCTGTGAGCTTGGAGACTTCATTCTCTGACCCACATAAGCACCCGCCTGCAGGCCTCTCCCAGCTCATTACCCTTCACTGCTCATCCGGAGCTTTTCACTTAGGGAGAAGCTAATTCTCTGAGGATCTGTCCTGTGGGTGAGGTTGGTTTGCAGTCCTGGTTCTGAGCCCGCTGGGAGTCTGTGCGACCACTAGTCGCTCAGGTGGTCACTGGCACACCAGCACACCTGCCCTACAGGCACCTGACGGCGACGGTGCTGGCAGAGGACCAGCACAGACTGCACACCCTGACCCTGCAGCGGGCCTTCCTTGGGGCCAACGGCATCGTATCCGGGTCAGGGATTACAAGACAGACAGGAGCTGGGGCAGGGACCTGCCCTTCTCTTGGCTCAGACACCTCCCGCAGGCCATCAGCTCCCCCAAAGCCACCTTTGCCAGGAAGACGTGGGAAAAGGCGTGAGGACAGCTCTTGGACCAGTGGTTCAGGGTATGGGGGGCTCAGGGGTTCAGGGGTCTCTGTCCCCCGGGAACCAACTATACTCCTGCCTCCAGTCCGTCCCTCCTGTGTTGGGGCTCTGGGCAAGTCACTTAACCCCTCTAAGTTTCAGTGCCCTCAACTGTAGAGTGTGGGTCACACCCTGCTCATCACACCCCACATGTGGGGATCACAGGAGATGACAACAAATACTCCCACGAGCTACAAAGCCCCTGCCCACGTAAAAGCTGGAAAGTGACCTCCCACCTTCCATGACTTGGAGCCATCCCAGCTTCCTCCCTGGAGGCCACCATGACTACATGTCTGGCTTATGCTTCCAGACTTTTAATAATTGAAGAGTTTTGTAACACTTAGGAAGTACCAGTCTTGTTATCCCATCTTCACTGGTATGGGGTCTTGATAAGCTTCGTTAACATAATACTGCTCTATAGGCCCCATTAGCATTTCCAAAACACACCACAGGGAGCTGAGGGGCAGAGGAGTTAAGTCACTTTCCCACGTTCATGTGGCTTCTAAGTGAGATCCAGCCCCAGGCCACCAGGCACCTGCCCTGTGCTCCCAGTCCCTGTGCTCTGCTGCCTTTCTGTATTGTCCTCTCTCAATAACGTCCCCCACAGTCAGCCCATTGGGTGTGCCCACACCACTCTGCAGGGTCCCTTGTCCCACGCCCAACTTCCATTCAGTTGGCTCCTCTAGGCAGCCGGTGACCAGAAGTGTGAGCTGGGGAAAGATCATTAACACTTTCCCAAGGACTTCTGCCAACAACATGCCAATAGGGAGCTCCCACTTCAAATGTATCTTGCAGGATCACACCTCAAGGATACAACAAGATCAGAAAGGGTTCAAATAGAGGATACATCAGAGAAGTGCCTACATTCAAGGAAATCTACTGCCCTTCCCCAGCAGGGGGTCAGCAGCATTGTGTAACCAGCACTATAAGCAAAGTACATTTTTTATAGTTTTTTTTTTATATTTTAAGTTTTCAGGCCAGTATGATTTGTTGACCAGAACTTTGTAAAAGTTCTTTAAAAAATGACTAATATTAACTAAAAAATATGATATTCTAAAAACTGACCAATGATGCTCACTGGCCTCCGGTGTTGTTTGTTTCACCTCCAAAAATCCCCCCTGATCCTATTGATTAGGGAGATGGATTTGAGGCATTTCATGCCTCCCCCTCCCAGCTGAAATGTCCACTGAAATAAATCCTGTCTTGACATCCTCGCTGTCTCAGTAACTGGCATTCTGTGCAGCTGGCCACATAGAACCCCCTTGTGGGTTCATTAACAACTGACATCCCCTCCTGGCCCCACTACAGGGTAGAGCCACAAACACCACCCCCTGCCAACTGCTCCATGGAAGGGACTTTGGACATGAAGCCCTTAAGCAGACTGTGGAGTGAGGACGGTAGTTCACACAGCAGGGACTGAGTTTTGGTGAGGAAGGATGTGAGCAGGGAGGTGACACTCAGGGCTGATGCAGCCACTGCCCCTTCTCAGCCAGGCTTGAGTCTGAGCTGCTCCGACAGTTGGCAGAACTTGAGTCAGAGGGACACTGGGAGCTTGTGGGCTGTATTCACTGACCCAGCTAAGCACCAGCCCAACAGGCCAGTTTTTCAGTTAAATAGTAACTGCTCAACTTCTCAGTCTGGCCAGTTGGAGGCACAGCGTATGTTTTGTGCAACTGTCATGGGGGCAGTTGGCTCGGAATGTTCTGGGTTCTGCGTCAGTTGGGAGTGGAGGAGACACTAGTCATTTGGGAGGTTGCCTCATTACAGGGAAGTCTCACCAAGAGGCAGCTTTAGTGTCAAATGCTGGGAAGATGAACACAAAATGGGACGCTCCTGGTCCCTCCGGAGGGCTGCATTTGGGGGAAGCAGTGCATTTGGGGTCAGGGATTGAAATGTCAAGCCAGGAGTGGAGACAAGACGTGGACCACTGTCTTGGGCCAACATCTCCCCCAGGGCCTCACCTGTCTCCCTGCAGCATCCTTGGGGGAAGGAGGATTTGGGAAAGGGAGTGAGGAGGGCTCTAGGTTCTGTGTCCAGGAGTGACCTAGTGGTCCCCGGTGTTCAGGGATCTCTGCCCCCAGGGAACCAACTATATTCTCTGCCTTAGACTCATCAGTCCTCAGTGTGGTGACTCTGAGAAAGTCACTTAACCTCTGTCAATTTCAGTGCCCTGAACCATAAAATGGGAGTCACAGCTCCTACTCTGCCCACCCTACATCACACGAGATAGATTTTTTAACATGAGCTATGAAGAGTCAGACCCCTGCCCATGGGGAAGAGTGAGGGTCTCTCCTCCCCTGACCTGTCACCTCCCGTGTTCCCTCCCTGGAGGTCACCAGTGCTAAGTGTCTTGCTTATTCTTCCAAAAATTGAACACTTATGTAGGTATACTTATGATACAAGGCATTTTCTTCAGGCTTTGTCTGTATTTGCTCATTTTTAGCCCCTTCACACAATGGTGACAAGCAGATCCCTCCTATTCACATTTCCACACCCCAGAGCAGGGGACGGAGGACAGAGGGGCTAAGGGACATTCCCAGAGACACGTGGGTTTGATCTCAGGTCATCTGGCCCCAGCACCCACACCCTCAGTCACTGCGTTGTGCTGACTTTCTGCATTGTCCCATCTAAATAAAATGATTATTCCAACACTTTCTACATTGTGTCATCTAAATAAAGTGATTGGTCCCACACAATCAGCCTGGGGGTATTTGCAACACACACCGATCTGCAAGACCTTCCCAAGCCCTGCTTGAGTTCAGGTGACTCCTCAGATGTGTTTCCACTACTTTGCTGCAAGAATGCAAAACAGAAAAGCAAAAGTTACTACTAATGGATTCAAACAAAGGTTGCACATCGATCCTCAGTGAAGAGAACACGCTGCCTGTCCCAGGAGTCTTTCAGCAGCATCACGAGGAGCATGTGGCCAAATGACAGGGCTGAGCCTCAGGTGCCATCCCGTACACCCTGCTCCACTGATGCCACTGTGGGATTCTTTCACTAAACCGATTGAGAGCAGGCTTTCTGTTGGCCACTTGTTTGCCCCAGCTGTTATCCACCACCTCAACTGTAACAAAGTGACACATTTGCCTGTCATTGTTTTTTGACATTTGTGCCAGGGGAGAGGATTTTTGCTCTGGGAAAACTCCAAATCAGGGTAAATACAGACAGTCTAACAAGTAGGATGTTACAGGGTCCACCAGACAGGTTAATGAGGGATGACTCTTTAAAGAAATGAGGTTTTGAGGGCATTCCAGCCCCATTCTGCTCTGCCCAGTGGCTGCCACGTTGCTGGTTTTCACCAGGGGCTTGGAGTTTTCTGAGCTACTTTGGGACTACAGGACAAAGGGTAAGACTAAGACAAATTAAAACAACACAAAACTCACGGTTCTTACTAAAATTCAGGCCCTTTTTTCTTTGTCATCGACTTTCTCCCAATAGCTACAAGTTATAGTGACGTTCCAGAAATGGGAAAATGATGATGGTGACAATTTTTGCCAGTTTTCTCACCTCTTTATTGGAAGAGAGAAGTTTCTAGAGGTCTTCATCTTGCCATTTCTGCTGAAGTCATTCATTAAATTATATTCTTTGGAATATCCACAGGCCATAGTCCAGGACGAATTATTTTGGGGAATTTGTACTAATAATACAATGCAGTGTAAATTGTATCTGAGACAACATTTCTCTTCTGGTAATATGCCTATTTTTAGATCAAATATATGAAATTAAATTTAAATATAGAAGAGTCTCACATTAAGGGGATGTTCTGAAAATAGTATGTTAAGAAATACTGAATAAAATGACCTGGTACTTGTGGCTAGTATTAGCAATATCTTAAAGTTAAATTTATATTTTTAGATAGGATTTCTTTTTTTCCCTCCAATAAAAAGATGAATTCTTACATGTAAAATTTTGCAATGGTGGAGTTTGGATATTTATTTTATAAATGATTTCTTGCACTTATAAACTAGTTCATCTTCACAGTCAAAACGAAAGTCATTTTGAAATAAAATCAAATAGTAATTTTTTGTCATGTATATTTTATCAAATATTATCTGTGATATATAAAAATACTACACATTCTGACCAATAAGTGTTGACCTCTAAAATGCAATGGTGGGTTAAAATTGGGAATCCAATAACTATTGCTCATATACATATTCAACGAATATAATTCAACTCTCTTAAGACATCAAAATAGAAAGCAATTAATATTATCCCAATGCACGCCTGTAATCCTAGCACTCTGAGAGGGGGAGGCAGGAGGATTGCTCAAGGTCAGGAGTTCGAAACCAGCTTAAGCAAGAGCGAGACCCCGTCTCTACCAAAAATAGAAATTAATTGGCCAACTAAAAATATAGAAAAAATTAGCCAGGCATGGTGGTGCATGCCTGTAATCCCAGCTACTCAGTAGGCTGAGGCAGCAGGATCGCTTTAGCCCAGGAGTTTGAGGTTGCTGTGAGCTAGGCCTACGCCATGGCACTCTAGCCCAGGCAACAGAGTGAGACTTTGTCTCAAAAAATAATAATAATAAATAAATAAATATTATCCCAATGAATCAAGAAATACAGGAAAAAGAAAAGATTACCATAGCATAATACATAAATTTATAAGACAACTATTCTTAGCTTCTTTAAATAACTTATAGTAAACATTGTAGTTAATGTTGCTTTAAGGGCATAATTCTATTTCTGGTCAAAGCCCAGACAAGAACATGCATGATACCAATGTATTTTTATTATGTATATCGAGGTATGGTGCATACCATAAGATTCATCCATTAAAAGTGTGTTAAAAATTCCATCATTTTAGTAAATACATAGACTATCATCACAACCCAGTTCAAAAACACTTCTATCATCCAACAACTCCCCTTATGGAATTTGAAATCATTCACTTTAGTGAAATGTTTTTGAACTTCATATTGTGACATTTATTTGTAGTGTTTTTTTCTTCCTTTTTATTACTGAGCAGTCCTCCACTGCACGGATATACCACATTTGTTTATCCATTCACCGGCTGATAGACACTTACATCCCTTCCACTTTGGGGACACCATGAATAACACTTCTGAGACTATTCCTGTACAAGTCCTTTTGAGAAAACACGCTTTAATTTCTTCCGGGAAAATTCCCAGGGGTGGAATTGCTAGGTCAAAGTGTAAGTTTATGTTAACTTTTTTTTTTTTTTTTTTTTTTTTTTTTTTTTTTTTTTTTTGAGACAGAGTCTCACTTTGTTGTCCAGGCTAGAGTGAGTGCCGTGGCATCAGCCTAGCTCACAGCAACCTCAAACTCCTGGGCTCAAGCGATCCTCCTGCCTCAGCCTCCCGAGTAGCTGGGACTACAGGCATGCGCCACCATGCCCGGCTAATTTTTTATATATATATCAGTTGGCCAATTAATTTCTTTCTATTTTTATAGTAGAGACGGGGTCTCGCTCTTGCTCAGGCTGGTTATGTTAACTTCTTAAAAGGCTGAAGAGCTCTTTCTGAATTTACCTTCCCACCAGGAATGCACACAAGCAACTGTATAGAACAGGGAGTTGCAGGCCACAGCCAGTATTTATTAATATGTTCCCACATTGTGTGTGTGTGTGTGTGTATGTGTATGTGTGTGTGTGTGTGTGTGTGTGTGTGTGTTTGTGTGGCTATGTAGGCACATAAAGACTGGAGAGAAAGAAATAAGATTCTCATTAATTACTATTGTTAGTATCCAAGTCACAAGCACAAAACAATCTTAGAATTAACATATATATTTGAAAAGGCAGCTGAAACTAGGATTAGTACGTCACATAAGAGTCAGTTGCATGCTTTTTATCTCCAACCATCAGTGAGAAACTTTATTTGGAAAAAAAAAAAAAAACCTTTCAATAACAACAAAATGTTAAGAATTCTAAGAATAAACGTGAAATCTTTCGATCCACCTTTGACAATTCAGTCGTCTGCGCAGGTATTAGAGGTAAATACCTCCCCAGGTGATTCCGCTCTGCCCTCAGGGCTGTGGACTGCAGATACAGGAGGGACATAGACGAGCAAATGCCAAAATTCAGATAACTCTCACTTTTCATGGACAACCAACTGCAATGTCAATTACCCCCAAGTTCTTGGCGAGGAGAAGAAGAAGGAGGACAGGTTCTTCACTTGAACTTCAGCACCCTTGGGCTCATCTGGAGAGTGAGAAAGGGCTCCCAGAGCTGGGGTCCAGAGCCTTGACCTTAGAAACCAACGTCCCCACCATCAAGCGACCTGGTGCCATTCTGCCCAGAGACCAGAGAGGACAGCACGCGTCCCCACGGGGGTCCATATGCAGGAAACTGACACAGTGGAACCTGTAGATGTGCCCACATCTCTGGGACACGGGTGCTTGGTGTTTTCTGACACCAGCCACAACCGGTTCTCCAACTCAGTGCCCAACAATTTGACTCCCTTCTAAGACTAACTGCCCAGAGTCAGTGTCAGGCATTACAGTTTTAGGGGCCCAGTCCCACGAGACTGTCCCCTGGTCACATGCCAGCCATAAATGGGGTGCCCAAGCCACCCACGCTCCTGCTTGGGAGACTGCAAATTCAGGGGTTCGCACAGTGCCCTCCCTCAGGTTTGATAATTCACCATGACGACTCAGAACTCAGGAGAGCGCTTGACTAACATTTACATGTTTATTATACGTTAAAGGGTAAAACTCAGGAAAAGCCACATGGAAGTGACTCACAGGGTAAGGTAGGTGGAGGGGGGGTGCAGAGAGAGTCCATGCCCGGCTGGGGCAGCCACCACCTGCCCAGCACACCCAGGTGTTCACCTGCCCTGAAGCTCCCTACATGAGCCCTGCCAGACCGCTCACAGCGCAATCTACGGCCCCCTTCCCGCCCTCATGTCCCAACCCTCTAATCACAGCTTTGGTCCACCTCGGGGCTGTGTAGGGTTCCACCCTAACTCACCTCATTAGCATAAGCTCAGATGTAGTCCGAAAGAGCTCTTTATGAACGATTAAAGCCAATCCCATCACTGAGGACATCCCATGGGTTTTAGGAGCTCTGTGCCCCAAACCTGGGACAAAGAATCAATATACTTTTTTTTTTTTTAATTATACCATAAAGGGTTTCTCAAGAAAAGACCACGCAGGTAGAACACCTGTTTGCTTCTTGGAAGTGTTCGGCCATAGCCCCTGCCTAGTGGGAAGACAACTGAACCAGTTAATGGCACCATCTGGGATCTAAGTGTTATTGTCTCCTGAAAGCCATTCACCCTTAAGGGGAAAATAGTTCACCGTGCCCTGATTAAATGTCATTTGAGTGCCAAGCAATGAGCATGCAAATAAAGGGCATGCGGGCTAAACCTAGAGAGATTTAAAGTGTGGATTGGAGTAAAGGCCTAGCCTCATCACAGGGCTTTGAGCTGAGGTGGAGGAAGGATCCGAACTCATCAGGGTCTCTAGCCCCTAGCTCTCCAGCTCAGCATTAACTTAGAGGAGGGCCAAGAGTTTGAGTTGAAGTGGGAACAATTTTCATCTTCTAGGTCAGTGCCTGGCAATAAAAATGTAATGCAAGGCATATATGCAATGTGGAGTGTTTTCCAGTAAACACACTAGAAAAAAGAAAATTAAAAAGATGAAGCAAATATAAAAAAAAACTATATTTAATACAACATCCCCCAAATATTAGCATTTCTACACATGGCACCAGCAGCCAATAGAACTGTTTGCTACCATATTGGGCAGCACAGATATGGATCATTTCCACAACAGAGACTTATTAATGTAAGTGCTGCTAAATGTATCTCAGGTTATCTTTGATTTATACAAATAATGAAATGATCCACTCCTCAGGCTGGGTATTAGAAATCCCATCTATGCCCAGCACTCCAAAACCTAGTCAATGTGTGACGAAATGGCATGCATATGGCCGGGAATGTTTAATTAATCAATGACTAAATTCTCCACCTTGCTATCTCCTGGTCACCTTCTTGAAATGTGAGAAAAATTGTAAAGAAATAAGTCTATTTAGGACTCACAAGAGAATATTTTCTAGTTCACTGGAACATGTTACATTGGCTTCCGGTGGTCCTCACACCCAGGGAGGATTTTGTCCCCTAGGAGATGTTTGGCAATGGCTGGATACATTTATGGTTGTCAACACTGGGGAAGGTGGCTAGTGTTGTCTAGTGGATAGAGCCCAGGGATGATGCTAATACCCCACAAGGCTCCCAATAGCTCCCTACAGCAAATAAAGATCCTTCCCAAAATATCAACAGTGCAGAGTGAGAAACCCTGTCTTTGACTACACCCGTTAGGCCTGCTTAGGAGAAATGGGGATTCCTCGTGGGCTCCTTCAACCCAGTGTTAAAGGGTTGACTTCTCTCTGCATGGAATTAGTTGCGACCCTCAGTGCCGCCAAAGGAATAAACGTATTCTCATATTTAGATTTTAAAAGGCAACGAGACCTCCCGAGGAGCGCTCTCTAAAGAAAGTCAGCATGAGGACACAATTATTTTTCCCAAAAGGTTTTTCCTCCATGATTGCACAGATGCATTTTCAGAAATTTGGGATAAATGAACTAGACATTGTCCTGAGACTGCTTAAAACTAGACAATGACAGTCCACGAACACACCTTTTGCATGTTATATGAATTAAGTACTATATTCTTATGGTAAAGTAAGCTGGAGAAGAGGAAATGTTATTAAAACATCAAAAGGAAGAGAAAATATTATTTATTATTCCTTAAGTAGAAGTGGATCATCGTAAAAGTCTTCATCTTTGCATTCTCCAAGTTGAGTAGGCTGAGGACGGGGAGGAAGGGGAGGGGTTGGTCTTGCTGTCTCAAGGGTAGCAGAGGCAGAAGAAAACCCACGTTATATCGGTGGACCCCGTGCAGTTCAAGGCTCAACCGTACTCAAACCAGAAATTTCTGAAAATGCAATGCATTTTGAAATTTTGGTTCAATGTTGAGTTAAAACATTTGAACCAGTTTGTGGTAACCTTTCTATCATTAGTAAAAATCTTGTTTCTGCAAGGATTAAATCAAAATATAATCAGATTAAAGGGGTGAGGCCAGGTGTGAATAGACGGGAGGAGACTCCTTCTATATATTTAAAAAAAAAAAAAAATCCGCGTAGGTCAGTCTCTCTTCAGAATCGAGCCACCTTCAGGAGGTGAGTAGAGGAAAGATGAGTCCAATCTTATCTTGATTTCACTTCTTAGATTTCTGCAAAAGTTAAATATAGGGGACTCGGGAATTGATTAATGTATTGATACAGCAAGTGCCAGTTGGCAAGTGCCAACTCAGAGCCAGGCACAGTGTGTGCACTTAGGGCCACAGGGCCGTCTGCTGCAGGAGCTGTAGGTGGGCCTAGACTCTCCATGCCCAGGGCTGGAGAGTTGACATATTCCTTCTTTTCTCAATCAAATCACAGCTCTGGCTACTCTAGGGGATGATGAGTTGAGTTTCCCCCCCGGTGACTTAATTCTAAAATCTAGCTGGTAGGTGCTGCCGTGGGTCCGTGCCAAGGCCAGGCTGGACCAGCCGGGGGGAGAGGGAGGGGCTCTGAGTCTAGACCAGAGATGTCCAGTAGAAACATAATGTGACCCGCCTATGTAATTAGAAATTTTCTAGTAGCCACATTAAATAGAGTAAAAACAAACAAATCAAAATGATTCTAATTGGTAATATTTTTTTAATCATTTCGACATGGGTTTACATTGATGATATATTTTTCAAAGAATTTTTTTTTCTTTCTTTCTTTTTTTTTTTTTTGGCCAGCACAGTGGCTCACACCTATAATCCCAGCATTTTGGGAGACAGAGGTAGGAGGAGCGCTTGAGCCCAGGATTTTGAGACCAGCCTGGGCAACATAGCAAGACCCCGTTTGGACAGAAAACAAAATTAACCAGGTAAGGTGGTGTTCACAACTCCAGTCTCAGATATTTAAGAGGCTGAGGCAGAAGATCACTTGAGCCCAGGATTTTGAGGTTGCAGTGAGCTATGATCATACCATAGCACTTCAGCCTGGGTGACAGAGCAAGACTCTGTTACTAAGCAAAAAAAGTGTTTTTGGTTTTTTTGGTTTTTTTTTTTTTTTGAGACAGGGTTTCCATAAGTTGCCTAGGCTTGTCTTGGACTCCTGGGGTCAAGGAATCCTCTTTCAGTGCCCCCATAGCTAGGAATACAAGCACACACCATCACACCTGGCAGTTGGCAGTTTTAGGTTTTTTTTTTTTTTTTTTTTTTGCCAAACTTGTAAACATGAATCTTCACAATCTTGGATAAAAAGTCCCTTTAATAAAATGACTGGTCTGATGAGTGTGGCTTTTAGGAAAGACCTCTGAGTAAGTCTGACTAATCTCCTTGATCAAAATATGAGATCTTATTTCCATGATCGAAAATTAAACCAGCTCCATTCATAGATTAATTTTGATGCCCCGTATTTCATTTCAAGAGTTTCATTCCTAATCCCAAACCTTAACAACATCTGCAATGTACGAGACCTAGTGTGGAGTGATACTATGGCAGTATTTGTCCTTATTAATATAAGAAACCCTGAAGTCAAAATGACATCCTTGATTTGTGCCGATCTGTTTACAACTTCAGCAATAATCCAATTTCTGGCATAATTAAATCAAAGCCTGATTGGGTTAAGGAAGATAAGCAGGGCGTGGCTAGGGAGGGAGGAGGGACCCTCTATATAAAAGCCGCTGCTGAGTGGAGCTCACTCCGGGACTGAGCTGTCGGTGGAAACTGGTGGACGACGGAGGACGGAGGAACTAGCGGAAGACACGTGAGTCTGATGTTCTGTGATTTCTTTCTTTACTTATTAGACTACTACAAAGGGCAGACATTAGAGAGCAAGGTCTGGAGAATATGTGGTCATTAATTCAGTAAGTGTGATTTGAGGCCGACTCCATGCCAGGCACTTAGGGATATGGGGTCCTCTCCCAGGAGCAGATATTAGATTTTCAGTGCCCAGGCTGGAGAAATACATCACTGTCTTGAATTTGCTTTGCCATAGCTTGGTGGACTCTGTGAGATGACGGACGGAGTCTCTCCCTTCCATTTATCCGACCTCGCAGCTGCTGGATGGGGGTTTTGCCACAGCCAGACTGGAACAGCTGGGCTCAGGGGTGGCAGTTTGGGAGAGTCTCTGGGTCTAGACCACAGCTGCCCGGGAGAAATTGAAAGCAAAGCACACATGTGCAATTACACGTTTTCTAGTAGCCACATCAAATTAAGGGGGAAAAGTCAATTTTTTTTTTTTTTTTTTTGAGACAGAGTCTTGCTTTGTTGCCCAGGCTAGAGTGAGTGCCGTGGCGTCAGCCTAGCTCACAGCAACCTCAAACTCCTGGGCTCAAGCGATCCTCCTGCCTCAGCCTCCCAAGTAGCTGGGACTACAGGCATGCGCCACCATGCCCGGCTAATTTTTTCTATATATATTAGTTGGCCAATTAATTTCTTTCTATTTATAGTAGAGACGGGGTCTTGCTCTTGCTCAGGCTGGTTTCGAACTCCTGAGCTCAAAGGATCCGCCCACCTCGGCCTCCCAGAGAGCTAGGATTACAGGCGTGAACCACCGCGACCAGCCTCAAATTTTAATACGGAAAATGTGATGTCGTGTTAGCACTTAATCTATGAAAGTTCTTAATGAGATGACTTGCATTATTTTTTTTCTCATTACACCTTCAAAATCCAGCGTACGTTTTTTACACTGAAAGTACACCTCATTCCAATAAGCCCTGTAAAGTCCAGTAAGTCTCGACTCCTTCACCACACGGACTTCCCAAGGAAAGAACCATGTCCTTCTTTCCAACTAGCATTTCAAACATCAGAAGTTCAAGGCCGTGAGTCTTTCATGGACGTATTTATGTTGTGCTTTCCTTACCTGTTACTAGGCACTGACATCGCTACGCGTGTAAAGATGTAAGAGCCCCAGGGAGTATTGTCATTCAACTCATGCAACTCCAATGTCATGTGCATTTTTCCGCAGACGGTCGCCATGGCTCAACAATTTAAAGAAGCAAGTACATGTGTCCTCTGCCTGTCTTATCTTGAAAAACCCGTACGCCTCAGCTGTGGCTTTATCTGCTGTCTGGATGCATCAGCACACTCCAGAAGGAGCCCAGTGGGGAAGGCGTCTCATGCCCCTCCTGTCCCCTGGCCACTCAGAAGAACGACATCCGGCCCAGTTACCAGCTGGGGAAGTTGGTTTCCACAATCAAGGAGCTAGAGCCCCAGCTGAGAGCAGTTCTATACCAGAACCCAAGAATGCTGAAGTTCCAAGGTAGGGGATCTGTGCGACCCGCGCTCAGCCCATCAGTGGCCCCTGGACAAAGCAACTGTTGTGGCCTCTGAGTGACAGTTCTCACGTCTGAGCACAGATCAGAGACAGGGTGGAGGTTTTGAAAGAAATGTAATATTTAGGTCACGTCCTAGCCCTGTGCCGCCAGGGGCTACTGAGCCCTTGAAACATGGCTAGTGCCCCACATGGAAATGGGACATGTGGGCTCATATGTTATTTAACACATTTCTTGCATGCTTCTTATTACTTTTTTAATATGTCTACAGAAAAATGTTAAATGACACGTGGCTTTCATTGCATTTCTTTGGGCAGCACTGACCCAAAACACAGCTTCTTAAACTTGAGCATGCCTTAAATTACCCGGAGATCTTGTTAAAATGGGGATTATGATTCTATAGGACCGGGCTGACCTGAGAATCTGGATTTTTGATGCTTTCACATTATTTTGTCATAAGCAAAATTGTTTTTCCGTCATTCAAGATATTCATTAGAGGTCTATATTTGGACTGAGTCTGTGCTCAATTTTTATCATTTTGAGAGTAAACAATAGTCGTGGTCTCTGTCTTCAGGGATCTTATGCCCTAAAGGACAAAAAATCATGCATAGAATAAAAAAAATTTAAGGTCAAAAGAATGCCTACTGTAAGAAGGGCTTGTGAAAAATATATTCATTCATTCTCTATATGAAATGTGACTTAATTGGGGATTTGGGGAAGTTTCTTTAGGAAAATCCTGATTCAGGGAAGAAGATTAGCTTAAAGAAGTGTAAGTGGACGAGATAATTGAGCCTTTACGCAGAGGTGGCTTATGGTCTGTGTATTTGCTGATTTCCCCTTTCTCTGTCTTTCCACAGTGGACATGACCTTGGACATTGACACGGCCAACAATGGACTCATCATTTCTGATGACCTGAGGTCTGTCCGTTGCGGGCCACTCAGACAGAATCGGAGGGAGCGTGCTGAGAGATTCAAACGCGTAACATGTGTCCTGGGAGCCCCTCGGTTCACGTCGGGACGCCATTACTGGGAAGTGGACGTGGGGACAAGCAAAGAATGGGACCTGGGTGTTTGCAAAGAATCTGTCGATCGACAGGGCCCAGTTCTACTGTCTTCGGCACTTGGCTTCTGGACTGTGGGTTTGAGAAAGGAAGTGCTCCTCGCAGCCAGCACTGTGCCCCTAACTGCCCCCCTGGTGAGTCCCCGGTTACGCCGAGTAGGCATCTTCCTGGATATGGATATTGGAACCATTTCCTTTTACAACGTTAGCGATGGCTCCCACGTCTTTACATTCACTAAGGTGTCTGTCGCAGAGCCACTGCGTGCATTCTTTTCTCCTGCATATTCGGTTAACGACGATCAAAGCCTCCTGACTATCTGTCCCATGACAAATCTGGGCACTGCCAGATCTCCCAATCCATCCTGAACAAGGCAAATAAACGTCTAGCCACAAAAACCATGTAGAGAAAATCACTTTGTTTTTTTTTTTTTTTTCTTTTTTTTTCTGAGATTTTCCAGGGAGAGAAAATCACTTTGTGCCAGAAGCTAAAAACATTTCTGTTTGGGTCAGCACATGGGACGTTGCATGAATCACGGATATAAATTAAGTAGACATTCGTAATATTTTGGGTGAGGCAATTGCATTGCATGTAACAAAATGTTTGTACCCCCATAATATCTGAATAATAAAAAAAAAAGAAATATCACCTCTCAATGTGCACTCTCTTTTTCTGCTCTCCCTCCCCAGTTAATTCCAAATAATTGTTTAAAGTTCATTTCAAATGAGCTGAGCTTTTTCCAAGAAGCCTTCCCTGCCTGCCCCCTCCACAATCTAAGTGAGGTCTCAGTGCTTTTAATCTCTGCTGTCACTCTTGTCATGCTTCTTTGCAGTATTTCTCAGAGTCTTGTGCTTTACTGTTACTGGTGTGACTGGTTAGTAAATTTTTGTCTCTCCCATAGAAATCTAGGTTTCCTGAGAGTAGTGGGGCCTGGGTTCTTTTGGTTGCCTGCTACCCAGAGCTAACCAAGTGCCTTTCCCCTGGGACAGGTTCAAATACTATTTGTTGAATGAATCAAGTAAATGAAAAAGTGTCTTCCCCCATCCATGGCAAAAAAATCTGTGTCTTTGATTCATTCAAGAAAGTTGAATGTATCAGAGTGCATGAGAATCAAATGACAAATGAGATATAAACTCTTTCCTGGAAGTGCTTAGAGTCTAGTGGGAAATAAAAGATGTATTCAGTAACTATTACAGGATAGTGTAAGTGAAATGATTGACACTCTTATTATTTTTTTTTTTTTTGAGACAGAGTCTCACTTTGTTGCCCAGGCTAGAGTGAGTGCCGTGGTGTCAGCCTGGCTCACAGCAACCTCAATCTCCGGGGCTCAGCGATCCTACTGCCTCAGCCTACCGAGTAGCTGGGACTACAGGCATGCGCCACCATGCCCGGCTAATTTTTTGTATATATATTTTTAGTTGGTCAATTAATTTATTTCTATTTTTCGGTAGAGACGGGGTCTTGCTCAGGCTGGTTTCGAACTCCTGACCTTGAGCAATCTGCCCGCCTCGGCCTCCCAAAGTGCTAGGATTACAGGTGTGAGCCACCACGATTAACACTCTTATGAAGATCAAATTTCAGTCCTACAAAGTTGCCAGAGAAAGCAGATCTCCATGTGAGAAGTTAGGTGGCCTCACTGCCCCAGCCTTGTGTGACACCCTACGTCAGCTGGATTTGAATACGTGGTGTCACAGCATGGGTGCTGGGCTTGCAGGCATTTAACCTGTTTCTGCAGCAGGCCCCTCATCTGTGAAAAGGTCAGGTTTCTAGTGGAAAGGAACCACGATTTTACACAAAATTTTTTTAGCCTAATACTATAAATTCCATAATAATGAAGATTTTAGATGGTGAATAAGCACAGGGAAAGATGTTCAGCAACATTAATCATCAGGGATATGCAAATGAAACCCACAATGAGATACTACTGCACACCAGTCACAATGGCATAAAAAGAAGACACATAAAAAGATGACAACACCAAATATTTATGTGGGTGTGGGGAGTGTGGATACTCATACTGTGCTGGTGGAAGCGGGAAATGGCATCACCACTGTGGAAACAGACAGTTTTCCAGTTTTGACAGTTCCTCAAAAAATTAAACGTACAATGACTGTACCATCCAGAGATCACACTCCTGGGGATTTATTCCGGAGACATGACTATTACGTTGATCCCACAACCTGCACACAAATGTTTACAGCAGCTTTATCCTCTATAGGCCTAAACTGGGAACAGCCCTGATGTCCTTCAACAGGTGAATGGTCAAACCAACCGAAGTAGGACCCTACCATAGAATAATAGCACTAAGCAATTCAAATAAATGAAGTATAAATACCTGCCCTAATCTACAATTAGGTTGAGTGAAAAAAAAAATCCTCCAAATAGTTCTATATTGTATGATTCTATTTACAAAGAAGATGAAGTTACAGGAATGGAGAACAGATAAGTGGATGCCAGGAATTAAGAGGTGGTGGAGGAGGGGGAAAGTTGATGTAGCTAGAGGAGGGGCATGGAAAAGCTCCTTGTGCTGATGGAAATGGCCAGTAACTTGACTGTGTCCATGTTAATATCTTGCTTGTGATATTATACTCTCATTTGGGGAGATATCTTTGAAAGAAACTGGATAAATAGTTGGTGGAATCCTTTTGTATTAGCTCTTAACACTGCGTGTGAATCTACAGTTATCAAAAAATAAAAATGGTTACCTTCAAAAGGATACAAGAAGGTAGCAGAATCAAGGAAGCCAGTATGTCAGATTTTTCAGTTACGGCCTGAGCCTTAGAACCGTGACATCACAATGGTCCATGGTGACGACAGAGGAGTCCTAGAGCTTTAACAATTTTCCTTCAAGACTGCTTTCTAGAAGGTGCTGGGCACTGGAGAAAAAGGTTTGTTCTCATCAATCCAAAAGCACTCCAAGCCTGTAGGGAGTAATTCAAGCCCTCACAGCACAAGGTAGTCTTTTTTAATATACTGGTTTTGGTCATCAAAACAGACTAGTGGTGCCAAGAAGTGTTGTTCTACCTTGTTTCCTCTAAAACATGTGAACTACTTCTTAACTTCAGCACTGGCTTCGTGGACAGCTGCTCAGATCCATGAGATTCAGTGGTGCTGAGCTCAAGAGGCTTCCTGTTCTCAGGGGAAACCCTTTCTTGGCTCTGTTGGAGACAATCTTCTGCACTTCTGTGAAGATGCCTGCCTGTTTTTGAGAATTTCTAAGTTCTATTGAAACTGGTTCGTTTCGCCCACTATGACCACAGAATCCTGTTGGAGCTTGGTTATAGCCCAACCAAATGATAGCGAAGTACTTGTTGTTGGTAAGAAACTATTTTGATGTTTCCTATATTATTTGGTGTTCAATAGCAAATTTTTTCCCCAAAATTTAATGTTTATTTACCTAAGGTGAGTGTTAATTTTCCAGACTCATCAGTTATCTACATTTTCATGCTAACGTGAAACCAAATTGTAATTATTTCTTCACAAATCAATCTCCATGTCATTTTGTTTTATATATGTTGCACTATAGATTCTCTTGTGTTTCCTTTCTCTTTTTATTACTGGATTTTAAATGCTTGGTGACTAAAAACGATTAGATTTTATCTGAGTATTTCTTGCAGAGTATAGCATTGTAGCTTATGTAGAGTAAATATGAAGTGATTCATATGGTGATTCAATGGAAACAAACACACTTCTTAGAGAAGTGCAGAGATTGATTTAAAACATCAGGCAAATGTGACCTCTTTTCAAAAATTCAGTGTTAGCTTTTCTCTAAGTGTAACACATCTGTCATTCTTAATATCAGAATTAACTAGCAGCAAATATTTATGGAGAACTTAAAGTTTGAGAACGCTTTTGCTATCTTGTTTTATTTTAAGTTTCATTATAACCTCATAAATAGATACTATTTTTCCAGGTTACTGTTCTATTTCATTACTGTCATTGACATTTTGTCAGATTGGAGACATTGGTAGTCTAAATTTTTAAATGGTCTTTTGAGATATAATGTGCATACATGACACATTATATATCGTAATACCAACTGCAAGAGAATATCTCTAAGGATACTTCCAGCATAGTCCTCTTGGCTCTTGGCTCCACCTTTTGGGCCTTGGTTCTGCCCTCTGGACTTCTGTCACTGCTTTCTGTGTCATCCTTTCCTTTCCGTGGAATGTGGCACATGCCTGCTGCTGAATAGTTGGATCATTCTGTTTTCTGCCAGTAGGATTTGAGGAGCTAACAACCATCTCTTATTCTTAGCTCTTTCTTTCTTTTTCAGTCCAGTCTGATGGTGTCGGTGCTGCTGGAAAAATTCTCAAGAGTTTTGTGGGTCTCCCAAGGTTGTCACTGGCATTCACTTCACTAGATAGGAGTCAGGTCCCCTCGTCTGTCTGAGATAGTCCCCCTTGTGTGTTTTTGTCTTCTGCCAAGGAAATCACCCAGGCTAGAGTGCAGTGGAGTCACACAGCTCGCTGCAACCACAATTCCTGGACTCAGGTGAGCCTCCTGCCTTTGCTTCCAGAGTGACTGGGACACATAGGTGCATGCCACCACGAATGGCTAATTTTTTTCTAATTTTTTGTAGAAACATGTTGCCCAGGTTGGTCTCAAACTCCTGGCCCAAGTGGTTCACTCACCTTGTCCTCCCAATGTGCTGGAATTACAGGCATGAGCCATCACACCCGGCCATAAAATTCCTACATCTTTCCACTGTTTGTTTAGGATGATTTCGATATATGCTAAGGCAGATTAGGTTTTTCCCTTAATGCTCCTCAGTGCCCGCTGAGCCCACGCCCTCTCTCTTTATTTTCACATTTTTCTTAACAGCCTTTTCAACACAATCTAGGCTTTTTTTTCCTATCACACTCCTCCAACTTCTTCCATCATCCACTCTCTGCTAATTCTGAAGCTGCCGTGCATTTTTAGGTGTTTGTTATAGCAGCCCCCCACTGCCAGGTCCCAGAATCTGTATTTGGTGTTTATGCAGCTAGAACAAATTACTGCAAACTTTGTGGTTTAAAGCAATAAGAATTTATGCCACAGTTCTGTAGGCCAGACACTCAGATGAACTTGAACTGGGTCCTCTGCCGAGGGGACCCCAGAGGGCTGGTGGAGGTGTGCAGGGCCGCACTCCTTGCTCGGGCTCCAGGGAAGAATATGCTTTTGAGCTCAAGCATTTGCCTGCATTCAGTTACTTGAGGTTGTAGCATTAAGGTCCCCCTTTCTTTGCTCGCTGTCACCTGGGCAGTGGTGTTTGCTCCTATGGGCTGCCTGTACTTCTTCCATGTGGCTCGGCCAATAGCGGTAGATCAAGTCCGATTTTTTGACTTTGTCACCCTTGCAATTTGGCATAAAGCGCTGTCACATATCTGACCACTGACTGGCGCTGTCGTGCTTGGGG